AGGGCCACAACAGGAAGCATGCTAAGGCCAGCCATCGTGGGAGAAAGTTGCTTTTAAACACGAATGAGGGCTGAAGAAGCGGGGAATGAATGGGTTAAGTGACAGCCCAGGATTGCCATCACCAACAAATCTATCCAAGGGAGCAGTGGCGGTTTACACAACTCGCAAGACTGCTGCACTGGTGCCCTAGAAGCCTGTTTCCTGTCCAGTGAAATTAGATCTGCACTCACGATGGATCAGAAAGTAGGGTGTATAAAAGGAGGGAAGCCACTGACCTCAGAAACCAGCAGAGTGAAGCTTCACAAAGACACAGCAACTCGGACCGCTCGTTCCACAACATCAATTTATTGACTCTTTACATTGTGGGAATTTTCGGATAAGGAGACCCTCTTTGTAGATTACAACAATCTTTCATATCATTACAGCCAATTATTTTGTAGCCAAGTGTCTGAGCTTCATTCCAACGCTGTTACAAAACACTCTAATCAAAAGCAACTTGAGGAGAAAGAGCTTATTTGCCTTCTATTTCCAGGTCAGCGCGTCACTGAAGGAAGCTGCAGCCCAAGCTCAAGTAAGAACCCAAAGGGGAGATTACTGAGGGGTGCTGAGTGCTGCTGCATCAACCATGGCTCATGCCAGGCTGGCTTATACACACAGGACCACCGTGGGATGCTGTTACATTTCTTCAATCAAGTTGTTCCTTTCATATGGCTCTAGGCTATGGCCGTTAACAATTACAGCTGACTGTGAGCTTTTTTTTTTTTTTTACCCCTTTTCTTTTCCTTTTTTTGTTATGTACAGTGATCTGCCTGCATGTATCCCTGCACACCAGATGAGGGCACCAGATCTCATTATGGATGGTTGTGAGCCATCATGCGGGTGCTGGGAATTGAACTCAGGACCTCTGGAAGAGCAGCTAGTGCTCTTAACAACTGAGCCATCTCTCCAGCCCACTTTTACCCTTTTCAACCTGATACACAAACACACCATTTAAAACTATAACCTTTCAATTTCTCGTCCCCAACGTCTTATGTTAACATTATAACACAAAGCATAGGCCAACCTTCACTCTTTTAAAAATGTCAATACTTTTAAAGCTTTAACTTTCTTTAAAAAGTTCAAGTCTTGTGTTTGTTTTGTTTTTGTACACAGGGTTTTACTACATAGCCCTAGCTGTCCTGGAACTCACCCTGTAGACAAGGCTGGCCTTGAATTCACAGGGATCTGCCTACCTCTGCCTCCAAGTGCTGGGATTAGTCGTGTGCTACTACTGCCAGGCTCAATCTTACAGCTTTTATGCGTTTAAAACAAACAAACAAACAAACAAAAACAAAACAGGGCCTTACAGAAGACCCTCAGACATTGACAAGTTCAGCTCTACTAACCTGAGTATAGTCTTGGCCCCCTGTGGATTATAACTCCAGGTACTGATTCTCAGAATATACTTTCCTACGTGTCCCAGTGAAGCACAGAAGACATCATATCAATGTCACCAATCTCTTATTAATTGTGGCTAACTGTGTGGCCCCAGCTGAGCAGCAAGCGCAGATTCTTAATAGAAAGCGTCACACAGAGCTGGGCATGGTGCACACACCTTTGATCCCAGCTCTCAGAAGGCAGATCTCCATGAATTCAGGACAGCTTTGTCTACAGAGTGAGAGTACTCGCAAGAGCCAGGGCCACACAGAGAAAGCTTGTGTGGGAAGAAAGACAGAGAAAGCGAGAGAGACACACAGAAAGAGAAGACATTATACAAATGGCCCTGCTATTCTTTTCTTCCCTCTGAAACTTCACGGGCCAGACCACCACTGTCCGCATTTTGCTCAGTAATAATTTCTAAGCTCTCATACAAACAGCCCATTAAATCCCCACGAACAAATCTCACTGAGGGAAAGGAAAGGATTCAGACATGAGAATACACTGTTGGAGCCCACAGACATGAAATCCTATCCGGGTCATGATATGACAGGTGACTCAGTGGTTCCTGAGGGTGAGTTTCGAGTCTTAAGCACTGGGCTCCTGCTTATGGCACCCCAACTCTCTCTTTTTGAACGACAATACAGCTATACATTCATTCTCCTTAAATATGCCTTACCAATTAGGCTTGTATCACTGTAATAATGACGCTGAACATGATAATAACAATAGCAACATCCACTGATGTATTCCTACATGGCAAGCGTCTCCGCTGTACTCGTGGAACCCTGACAACACAATGAGATCAGACTGTTTCCAAACACACCACCTTACAAACGGAGACACTGGGTCTCAGACAGGTTGATTAGCTTGCCCAGGATCTGACAACTGGAGCAACACTGTTAACTCTAAAAATCGAAGCTCTTACCCATTATACAATGGTACAAGCTATCTGTCAGTGGGCATAGAAAGAGCCTAGGACTAGGGATATCCAGGACTTGACCAGCATGCAGGAGGCTCTGGGTTCAACCCCCAGCACTGCATAAACAGGACAGGTAGTAACCTTTGCGAGGTAGAAACAGAAGGATCGAGAGTTCAAATGTCATTATACATTGAGTTCAAGGCAGGACCTTCCCTCCGCAGCTAAGATTACACACTAAAACCACCAGCGATGCCTGAAAGGACCGCTGTATCATCACCTCATCACTGAAACGGACGAAGTAACCTCAGTCACACACTCTTCTAACCCCGGTGCCTGGGAGGCAGAGGCAGGAGGGTTCCACTGAGTGTGAGGATAGTCTGGTCTGCACAGAGAGTTCCAGGCAGCAAGACCCTGCCTCAAAAACAACCAAAATAATAGAAACACACTATGAACAAGTGTCCATTCAGCGAACCCTCAAATGGTTGTGTTGTCTCTAGGCTCCTTTTCTTGCTTTTTTGAGACAGCCTTGTATGTCTCTAGGCTCCTTTTCTTGCTTTATTGAGACAGCCTTGTATGGAATGTGCTTTTTCCTTCTTTTCTGGCTTTGTTTGTTTGTTTTGGTTTTTTGAGACAGGGTTTCTCTGTGTTGTTTTGGAGCCTGTGCCCTGGAACTAGCTCTGTAGACCAGGCTGGCCTTGAACTCACAGAGATCCGCCTGCCTCTGCCTCCCGAGTGCTGGGATTAAAGGCATGGGCCAACAACACCAGGCTCCTTATCCTGTTTTCTTCCAAGGACAAAACTCCCACATGTATGGTGGTGACATCCTGTCCCTCAAGATCAACTGGCCACTTTCCCATGTTTACATTAGAAAAAAATTCTGAGAATTGTCACCTATATGACTTTTAGAAAAATTTAAAAAACCCAAACCACTTAGTACTGTTCAAAAGATTCTTGTTTCTCTCCACCCGATTACCTCATAGTTCTGGGGACAGCACCCAGGATGAAGTAGATGTTGACATACCGTCCATCACTGAGCTATGACCCTAGCCTAAGGCATATTTTTTCCTGTCAAATGGCAATCTCTCTCTCTCTCCTCCCTCTGAGACAGGGCCTCTCTATGTAGTCCTGGCTGTCCTGGAACTTACTCTGTAGACCAGGCTGGCCTTGAACTCAGAGATCTGCCTGCCTCTGCCTCCTGCTGGGATTAATGGTGTGCGCCACAATGCCTGGCTCTGAATCTGTTTCTTTTTAATGATAAGGTCTCATGTAGAATAGGATGGCCTGGAACTCCTGGCCTTAGCATCCCAAGGACCGGGATTACAGGTGTGGACTATTGCACTCATTTTTACTGCTGTTGCTCGGTTGGATTTTGTTTGTTTTAAGACAGGATTTCAGATGTCCCATGCCATCCCAACACTTGGCAGGTAGAGGCAGGCAGATCTGTGTATCTGAGGCATGCCTGGTCTACAAAGTGAGTTCCAGGACTGCCAGGACTGTTACCTAGAAAAACACTGTCCAAAAAAAGAAAAAAAGGAAGGAAGGAAGGAAGGAAGTAAGAAAGAAAGAAAGAAAGGAAGAAAGACAGGGTTTTGTGTTTTCAGCATGGAGCCCACAATGACCCTAAACTTCTGATCCTCCCGCCTCCCCCTCACGGGCTACCACCATTCCCATTCCCAGTTTAGGCAGTGCTGTAGCTCAAACCAGCATTGTGCAACAGAGCTACAGCTGAGCTTTGCTTGCACGAATCACACTTACTGTTGACCTCTTCATCTCTCTCCCCTTCCAATCTAAGCTTCTGGATGAAAGGCTCCCACAGTTTAGGCTTCTGTTCTACTATCACCCAGAACGAATTCCCCGACACTCATGCTACACCTAAGGAGGTGATACACCTTCACGCATAGAAAATTAAAGATAACTGCATAACTCAAGAGGCACATCTTGACTCGGAAGCATTTTGGCAAAGTAGGCTGAATAGTTGGCTAGAAAAGCCGTTTCCAAATTGCAACTGGAAAAACAACACCAAATAAATAAATAAATAAATAAATAACTGAGGCAAAGTGGCTGCAACAATACACCTCATAATTCAAGTTTGAGTCTGCATTGATGGAATGAAATGCAAATGTCAATACTGTCTTTGAACGAAGTTCACCACCACATCCGATGGCCTGAGGATCACTGTATTTCCTATCCAGGAAGATGGATCACCACCAAATTTTTCCACTCAGTTCCCGGGCAACAGTTAAAGTTCATTCAGTAGTTACCTTTCTGGTTCTCAAAGGGTTTGACAATTGGCTTTCAGGAAAGCGAGTTGATCTTTCCCAGATTTGGAAAGAATTTAGGAGGAAAGGGAAAATCCTTCACAAAGCCTTTTCTACCCCCACTGCCTCGACCCGCGTCCGTCTAAGAGCATGGGCGCCGGCTCTCAGGACGCCTCTAAAGAGGGGACCCCCACGCCACCCCAAAGCGTGAACTGACCTGCACCAAGGTCACAGGAAAATTTACCAACTTTTTGGTGCTGACTATGAAGACCTGGCTTCAGGGACCGTTACAAGGGACTCTAAAGGCCCAGGCCCTGTGCATTCCCCCTTGCTTAGCCCAAGAAGGGGCACTGGGCTGACGACCCAAAGGCGGTATCCTAAGACGCGTGTCCCGGGGTGCTTACCAGGCCCTGAAGGCCAAACGGACCCAGTGCTCCAGCAGACAACCTCGGCCCGGAAGCCAGCGTAGGGGGACACCGCGGTCGCACTTTCATTGGTTCACGCAGCCGGAAGTGCACGCGTCCAGCGGAAGTGCTCCTCCGGCGTGGTCCGCCAGTCAGGGGCCGTCAGGGGCGGGGTCCCCCTGGTTCCAAACACTAGGATCCGCTGGCCGCCGGCGGCGGGCGGCGATCGGTGATTGCCGGGGCCGAAGGAGGGGGTTCGCTTCCTGATCCGACGCCGAGAGGCGTCTCGCAGGCGTCGGACTCCACGCCACAGCAGGTGACCCGGGTCGGCGGGATCTGCGGGCCGGAGTTCTTCCGCGAGGAGGAGATTGGCGGCCGAGGGTGCCGCTTTTCCTTAATCTTGTCCCCGGTGGTCCTGGGTCGAGCGCTGCTCACGTCCGGCCCCGAGAAGGTGTGGTTTCTGCCCTTGCCCTTTGTAAGTCTAGGTTTGACTGTTTTCCTCAAGGCGTTCCCTGGGTGCTGTGGCCTCAACCATAGGGAACCTCAGAAAAAGCTACAGGAAACACAATCCAAGGATTAGATGACCTCTTTTGCATCTTCCTAGGCGTGGAGAGTGTTTCAATTACAGCGTATTTAAGTAAGGGAAGTTATGTGGACGGCTGTAGGCCAAGTTCGTACATAGCAAATAAGACTACTTAATAGTTTCCCTAGTTCTAGCCAACTCCACCCCTAGGAGGTTTGAAGTTTGAACCTCCTATAAATCCAATGAGCAACTAATGCTTTCCTCAAATTGATGACGCCCAGAGCTTCCAAAGCTGGCGGTTTCTGGAATTTGAGAAGCCCGGTGAGCATGAATGCATACCTTCCACTCCGGATGACAGTATTTGAGAGCCATTTCTACAGTTTTGAGGAAAATGCACCTCTCTTCTTCAATACTAGGTGGTGCCAGTGAGTTAAATCTTTCTGGCCTAAATCTGTAGTGTGTGGCTAAAGCTCCTTTAAAAGCCTCTATATTCCCTGAAATTTATTCAGAATAACTTTGCTTCTTGAGATTGTATTGAGGCTTGGGGATGTGGCCTGGTGATAAAGTGTATATTTAGAATGCTGGTTCTTCCCATTTTTCTATTAAACAGTGATAACTTATTGGGCGGGGAATTGATCTTAATATTAGAGTGCTTGCCTAGGCACGAATGAGTCCCTGGATTCAATCTCTTGTTCTGCAAAACAAGAGATTGGTTGGTTTTTGGAGACAGGGTTTCTGGGCATGGCCCTGGCTATCCTGGAACTCACTCTGTAGACCATGCTGACCTCAGACTCACAGATCTGCCTGACTCTGCCTCCCAAGTGCTGGGATTAAAGGCATGTGCTGCCACCACCACCCATTTAATATTTTCTTAATTTTGAATTGCACTGGTGTGTTCAATCTTTTAAAGTAACCAAATACAGTGTACTACATGTGGATTTATTCTTCTTATAGTGATTAAAATGGCTTCCAGAGGAAAGACAGAGACCAGCAAACTAAAGCAGAATTTAGAAGAACAGTTGGATAGATTGATGCAGCAATTACAAGATCTGGAGGAATGCAGGTAATAGTATAATTATATGTTGTTACTTTGTTTCTGATGGAGAGAATTCAGGCTCCATGGCTGCAGGCCCCGCGTGAGTATTTCATAGCACTTTGCCTGCTGGAGAAGTAAACTTCTCAGACTTGGGAGTCATAAAGCCTGGGATGTGGAAGGCTTAAAATACTTAAGTTCCTAGAAATAACAGAGCTTACTCTGTTTTTAGTATTTAAAACAGCTCCACTGAGAATGAACTCCTGGCTAATTGCTCAGAATACTATGATTGGGCCAGAGCATGGCTCTGTGGGTGAGTGGGTGCCTAATATGCTAGAGGCTCTGGGCTCAATCCCCAGCATGAAGAAGGGAGGGAGGGTTTGCACACTCTTGTAATCCCAGGAGGTCGGTGCAGGAGAATCCGAAGCTCGACATTCTTCTTAACTACTTGGTGAGTTCCAGGCCAGCCCAACTCTGAGATCTGATTCAATAAAGCAGAAGAAAACAAACTATTGTTTGTTGTAGTTTTTAATAGCCTCACAAGGATGTTGTAAATATGAACATGAAAGAGACAATGCAGTGTTCGGCTATGTAAGTGCTCCATAAATGGTAGTTCACTGCGTGGAGCTGTTCTTACTTGTAGATATTTAATTAGCAGCTCATTTGGTGAATAAAAATAGCCTTTTATTCAATGGCGGGTGTGCAGCCCTGCTGATACTAACAGCTACTATTTAATGTTACTATAGTGTCCTTAGGAAAAGGCACGTAGCTATCTGACTTTGTGCAGACGAACTGAGGTTGGGCTCTGTCCATGCCTTCCTTGCCTGAGGTTATACAACTGCTCTGGTAAAAAGAAGTTAGTTACTAGGTGCCTGATGTGTGACTTTTAGCAGGAGAAATTATTTGGGGTGAGGGAGATAGCGCACTCCCGGCCTTGGGTTTAGCCACACGCAGAGACAATGAAGATGCCAGTAGCTGAATTCTGCAGTCATGTGTGCCACTACAGCTGCTGTCCCCTTCAGCCTTGCTCTAGAACAGGTACTGAGATTTTCAGACATAGACGTGTGTGGTTTTCTGCACTCTGACTTTAACTGTGCTACAGAGAGGAGCTCGATGCTGATGAGTATGAAGAAACTAAAAAGGAAACTTTGGAGCAGCTGAGCGAGTTCAACGATTCCCTGAAAAAAATTATGTCAGGAAATATGACTTTGGTAGATGAACTCAGTGGCATGCAGCTGGTAAGAGGAATTTACTGATTGGTTCTTTTATGCATGGTTTGCTTTTGTTTTGTGAATGTATTTCAGATAGGAAATAGACACCTTGAAGGATGAGGATGTAGCTCTGTGGTAGTGTATTTATATAGTATGTACAAGACCCTAGATTAAACCCCAGCACCTCAGAATAAAAAACAAATAAGTAAATGAAAGAAAGAAAAAGTACTGTGTTTATGAGATAGCTTCTTGATTTTGTGTCTACATGGCTCCAATAACGCGCTCTGAAATTTCAAGCACCAAAACCTATTAGCTAGAACCCATCAGTCCAGTATTGCAGATGTAATTGTGTGGTGGCATAGTTTGGTTAAGTTTTGCATTTCTCTGTTTGCAGGCTATTCAGGCAGCAATCAGCCAGGCCTTTAAAACCCCTGAAGTCATCAGATTGTTTGCAAAGAAACAACCAGGCCAACTCCGGACGAGGTTAGCAGAGGTAAAGTTTCTTCACACTGATCCGGTTGCTGTGGTTTTCTTCCTAGCCCGTGACTGTACTTATTATCCTAGCCTAAATTATACTATTTAAAATTTGCTCAGTTGGTGTTAGAGCCACAGACCTCATTTTCTGACAGCTCGTACCTTGGGCAATTATAATTCATAATACATGAATTCTTGAACAGTATGTGGCCATTTAAATCACCTCTAACCACTTCTACTTGGCCTTCATTTTTAATATTTTGTCCTTCCCACCTGGGGCCCTAACTTGAGGTCCTGTTTGGAATTCAGCATCAGCATTGCTTCTGTGTGTGCATAGTTAGTTAATCTTTTTTTTTTCACATTTATGTCTACTGTTTTAAGTGTGTGTGTGTGTGTGTGTGTGTGTGTGTGTGTGTGTGTGTGTGGTGTGTGTGTGTGGTGTGTGTGTGTGTGTAGATGCCCACAGAGGTATCAAATGATCAAGAAGTGCCCTGGGCTGACGTTACAGTTGTTGTGAGCTGCTCGGTGTAGGTGCTGGGAATTTAACTCGAGTCCTCTGAAAGAACGGTACACAGTTCTTCGGCACTGAGCCATTTCCCCTGCTTGTCAAGCGTCTTTTTTTTTTTTTTTTTTTTTTTTTGTTCTCTTCTGTTTTGTTTTTTGTTTTTCTAGACAGGGTTTCTCTGTGTAGCCCTGGAACTCATTCTGTAGACCAGGCTGGTCTCAAACTCACAGAGATCTGCCTGCCTCTGCCTCCCGAGTGCTGAGGTTAAAGGCGTACGCCACCCACACCTACCTATTTTTTTTCTTTCTTCTCCACCCCCTCCCCCTTCTTGATTTGCTGGCAAGCATCTTGATAAACTTGTTACTCCAGAGATCTGTCTATGGACTTGAGTATAATTATGAGCTAACAGGTAATTTCTGTCTGCAAGTAATTCAGTGGGATAGCAAGAGGGAAACTTTAGGGAATGCGGAGGTGGCTCCGGTGGTGAAGTGCCGGGTGAGCAGCACACACCTGTGCTCCCTGCACTGGCGACCCTAACACTGACCTCTGGCCTCACCCAAACATGCTTGTACACACAGGAGCACATACACACACCCACACGAGGGAAAATCATAGATTAAGGTGAGATCGGTTGCGGAGCAGGAGCAATGGCTCAGCGATTAAGAGCGCTGCCCGTTCTTCCAGAGGACCAATGTTCAATTCCCAGCACTCATGTGGCAGCTCACAGTCCTCAGTAACTCTAGTCCAGGGAACTCAACACCCTCACTAGACATACATTGAGGCAAAACACAATGCACATAAAATAAGAGTAAATAAATTATAAAAAAGGAGTAAAGATGAGATCAGTTGGGTTTGAGTTCCCGCTGTGCATACTGGGTGGGGCACACGACCTTTGGCAAGTTGTTGTATTCACCCTTGTGCCTTGGTTTTCTTATCTGTAAAAAGGTGATTATGACAGTTTCTACTTCTGGTTGTCATGTGGGTGTGATGACACTTAGAAGCTGGCTGCAGTCCCAGCTCCTTGGGAGCCAGAGGAAGGAAGATCATTTGAGGCCATTCTGGACAAAGTAAGAGACCCTGTCTCAAAAATAAATGAAAAGGGCCAGGTAGTGACACCTTTAATCCCAGCACTCGGGAGGCAGAGGCAGGTGGATTTCTGAGTTTGAGGCTGGTGTGGTCTACAGAGTGAGTTCCAGGTCAGCCAGGACACACATAAACAATGAATTTCAAAAACTTACCCTATGGCCCTTCTGTCTGGTGTTCCAGATTATTTCTATTTTTTTTTTTTTTTAATTTTAACCAAATAGTTTTTGTTTCAAGAAGTTGGACTGGAAAGCTGGGCTTTCTACACAGAATGGCTTTTGCTCATGTGCACACGCCTTGCATTTGTCCTTTGCAGATGGATAGAGATCTGATGGTCGGGAAGCTGGAAAGAGGCCTGTACACACAGCAGAAGGTGGAGATACTCACCGCTCTCAGGAAGCTTGGCGAGAAGGTGCTGACACCCGATGTGATAGCCTGGGAGAGCATTTGTGTTGTGCATGTCACGGGACATGCTGCCCTTGATGTAGTCTGGGGACCCAGGAAATCGAAAAAATGTTTTTAGGTTTATTTTACGTGTGTGAATGTTTTTTCTGCTTGTATGTATGTGTACTATGTATGTGGGTGCCTGGTGCCCATGGATGTCAGAAGACAGTATCGGATCCCCTGGAACTGGAGCTTTGGATGGTTCTGAGCCAGCGTGTGGGTGCTGGGAATGAACCAGGCTCCTCTGCAAGAGCAGGATGTGCTTCCGACTGCTGAGCCGTCTCCAGCTGAGACGTCCTCACTGTGGCTCTTGGGACTTGCGCTAACCCCTGTGCTCACTGGCCATACTTTATCTCACCCTGTAGCTGACAGCCGACGACGAGGCCTTCCTGTCTGCCAACGCAGGCGCTGCGCTCAGCCAGTTTGAGAAAGTCTCCACAGACCTAGGTAAGTGAGCACCTCCCCTCTCTCCCCTCCCCCTGTTCCTCTGGCTTGATTTCACTCCTTCGTCTGTCTGTCTTACTTTTTTCTGAGTAAACATAGATTATTAAGGAAAAGTAAAAGAACCACGAAGAGCAGAAGCGTCCCTAAGGGGAAATAACTTAGCCACTGAACTGGCTTTCTAGCCTCCCACTGTTCTCCATTTTCCATGCAGGCTCTTACCAGGGACTTGAACTCAGCCTCTCTCTCCCTCGACCTCTGCAGTGCCAGAACCATGGGCACATGCCACACACTTAGCTCCAGTACTCTAAAAGCAAAATAAAGTAAGACAGACAAATTTTCAGGACATCACATGCCGTGGGGCTGGGAAGAAGGCTCAGAGCTGGCTGCGCTTGCAGAGGGCCCGGTTCTGCAGCTCAGTCACATTTGTAACTCCAGTTCCAGGGGAGCTGATGGCCTCTTCTGGGCTGAGGGCACTGGGCGTGCACATGTTGTACCTTCATAGGAACAGACAAAACACCATCCACAGAAACACATTTTAAACATTACATGCTTTTAAACATTTCCTTTTAAGCCAGGTAGTGGTGGAGGATGCCTTTAATCCCAGGACTCAGGAGGCAAAGACAGGCAGATCTCTGTGAGTTCAAGACCAGCCTGGTCTACAGAGAGAGTTCCTGGACAGCCAGGGCTATGCAGAGAAACCCTGTCTCTGGGAGGAAAAATCCTTTTATTTATGGGTTTTGTGTGTGTGTGTGTGCACGAGAGCGTGCTCACCCATGCTCAGATGCACATGCCACAATGCAGGAGTGAAATCACAGGATAGCTTGCAGGGGTTGGCTCTCTTCTACCATGCAGGTCCTGGGATTAAACCTAGGTTGTCAAGCATGAGGGCAGGTGCCTTTACCACTGAGCCATCTAATCCTCTAACCTTTTTTTCCCCCTGAGACAGGGTTTTTCTGTGTAGCCTTGGCTGACCTGGAACTCACAGAGATCCTCCTGCCTCTGCCTCCCAAGTGCTGGGGTTGAGGGTGTGCGCCGCCACTGCCCGGCTTCCCCTTCCCTTTCTTTGGGATGCTCCTTTATCGTGTTGTCTAGGCTCGTCTTCAACTCTCACTCAGCTCAAGTCATCTTCCTGCCTCAGCTGTCAAGTAGCTGAGACTGTAGCACACACCAATATTCCCAGCTTTTGCTGTTGTTAAAGACTTATTTATTGGGGGGTGGAGAGAAGGCTCAGAGGTTAAGAGCACTGGCTCTTCTTCCTGAAGTCCTGAGTTCAATCCCCAGCAATCACATGGTGGCTCACAGCCATCTGAAATGAGATCTGATTCCCTCTTTGGGTGCGTATGAAGAAAGGTCCATAAAATAAATAAATATTCTTAAAAAGATTTATTTATTAGTCTGGGTGGTGGTAGCACACTCCTTTAATCCCACCACTTGGGAGGCAAAGACAGGTAGATCTCTGTGAGTTTGACGAGTTCAAGGCCAACCTGGTCTACAGAGTGAGCCCCAGGACAGGTTCCAAACCTAAGGAGATATCATGTCTCAAGAAACCAAAATAGAAAAAAAAAAAAAAAAAAAAAAAAAGAATCTTTTATTTTAAAAATTTACATGTTTGAGTGTTTTACTTATATGTATATGGTATCTTAGGAGTCCATAAGAGGGTGCTGGGTTCCCTGCAACTGGAGTTACAGTTGTGAACCTATGTGTACAGTGGAAACCAGACCTGTGTCCTGTAGGAAGTGCTGTTAACCATGAGCTAGATCCTCAGCTCCAGTACCCTCTGCTTTGCAGCCGACTGTGTTAAAATACCTTTCAGCAGCATGCAACTGTAAAAGTAAGTTAGGATCTTACATCTTTGCCTTCAGGCCTGGAGCTGAGTTAGGATCCTCACCAGTGTGCCATTCTTCTGGCCAGATTGTTTATGTAGAAGGAAGGGGATTCAAATGGCAGCCGGCCGTGTAGGGGTTAATGCATCTGATTTCCGGACTCTGTGCTGTATGTCCCCTCATTGCCTGGGACTGAAAATGCTTTGAAATAACCTTTTCATTTTGTGTCTTTTCCTTAGGCTCTGGAGATAAGGTCCTTGCTCTGGCAGGTTTTGAGGTTGAAAAAGCCAAGAAATGACACTGGTGGTTGGCACCACCAGCCCTGTCCTTACTGCACACAACACGGTGCTTTCACCCTGAGGACTTGGAGCAAAGAAATAGAGATTCTCAAAATGCCCAAGAACAGGTGACATGACAGTGGCCTGGCTTCCGATTAGGTCCTTCTCTGTGCGGGGGCTCCCTTAAATGACCCTGGGCTTGTGGGGACGGGACTTGCTGGACTTGTTCTTATGGGTTGTTTTATAAGATGCCATGTTTTTTACTGCTGATAGGAGTGAGAGCTGTCAGCTAGTGACTGTCCTGATTCTTGTCTGCACGCCTTGGGTGACCGGCACGGTGATGTCACTAGCCCTCCTGTGTCTGTAGAATCTTAGAAACCTTTTCATTATCACACAAGGAAACCGAGATGTAGAACGAGCATGTGATCTGCCTAAAGTCACATTAGGGACAGAGCTGTGGCTGTGGCTCAGGTGTCCTGACTCCTGGTTTTATTTCTTTATTCTGTGCTATTGTTTGTTTGTATTTTTTTAAAAAAAATAATTAACTTGTATTTATGCAAGTTGGCGTCTGTGAAAATTCAGTGTCCTAACCGGAGTTGACTGGACACTAAGGGGCTGTCCCTGCCTGTGAGTGGTAGCATGAATGGGGCCCATTGTATCCCGGGGTTTCTAACAAGCAACAATGGGAGGCCCTGTTGAGAGCCTCCTGAAGTAACTTAACCTCCTGCCTTGTCTCAGTGGGGAAGCAATAGGAAATGGCAGCCCCAGGCCCTCTGGTGTGACCTCTTGCCAACTCTGAGGGTGGTAACAGTAAGTTACTATAAACTGTGCAGTTAGGGGAGAAACAAACTAAGTTAGGAAGAAAGTAAGTTTCTCCCTGAGAGCAGTGACTCTTGTGGGCAGACACACAGCCACGTCCTGACAGGAACCTCCCTCCCCAGGCTTCCTTCTGTGTTTCTCTCTCTCTCTCTTTTTTTTTTTTTCCCACTTTATACAAATTCAAAACTTTTTTACTGCTTCTTATAAACTTAAAAATCTACTAGGTGCTTTGCCAACTGGACAAACTAGGGGACCTCAGTTATGTAAATGCCTTATTTGGAACTTGTAATGTCTTTTGGATTTCTTGAGAGGGGTGGGTCTCTGGGCCAGCAGGATGGCCCAGTTGGTAAAGGTGCTTGCTGCCAAGCCTGATGACCCGAGTTTCATCCCCAGACCCACCTCGTGAAGGCAGAGAATTGACTTTTACAAGTTGTCTCCTGACCTCCACATATGTGTGCACGCAAATGCACACTCAATAAAGAAAAATTGAGAAGGGGCCTCCCAGCGTTGGAGTCCTAGGCTCAGACTCTTCTCTGCTGCTCGGATGAGTGCTGCTGTGCCTTCCCAAGGGGTGGTCTCCATCTGCTGTCTCCTGACCATCACTCAGTGAAGTGTAGCCACCAAGGCCGACCACCGGCTGTAACCTACGGTGGGTGCTGTGTGTATGCCACCACCGTTTCATAGAGATGAAGTTCCTGATAACACAGAAGTCACTGTAACTGTTTGTACATTCACAGTGCTGTGCAGCTCCCAGTCTAGCTCCTCATTCCATCGCACGCACGCACGCACGCACGCACGCACCTAGCTAGCACCCTCTGGCATCCACAGATCTGCTCTCCTGTCCCCATGGACTTACCTCTCTGGATAGTTGGCATGAATGGATATGTGGTGAGGCCCTATGTGGCCTTTGTTATGTATGCCTTCTTCATGCAATATTTTTAGAGCTAACCGGCATTGTAACACACTTCAATACGTCATTCCTTTTTAACGGCTGAGTAATTCTTCACTGTATAAATACTGTTTTGTTTGGCCATGCGTTTGATGATCATCTGAGTTATTTTTCACACTTTCAGCTCTTATGAAAATTTCCACACAAATACTTGCTGAATGCCTATTTTTCAGTTTCCTTTGGGTCAGTATCTAGTGATAGAAGAATTGTTATGTAGACTTTTAAACCATAGCAAGATTATCCTTTGCCTCATGAGCCCATAGTAAACCAAAGAATCTAAGAGTATTTTTCATTTGAAAGCGACTCACGTCAGTCTGGAGCCCTTAATCTTGGTCCCTTCAACATTCTTAAAGTGCTGGTGTTGGTGGCACACACCTTCAATCCCAGCACTTGGGAGGCAGAGGCAGGTGGGTCTCTGTGAGTTCGAGGCCAGCCTGATCTACAGAGCTAGTTCCAGGACAGGCTCCAAAGCTACGGAGAGAAACCCTGTCTCAAAAAACAAACGAACAAAATTCTTAAAGGACAGTAGCAGGAGGCTAGGTATGGTGGCATACACCTGCAACCCCAGTGCCAACTGGGGCCTCTTGGTAAAACCCCATCTCAGGCCAAAAAGCAAACCAAGCAGCCAGATCAGCAAAGTGAGATGCTTGTGGAGGTACAGCCACCTATTAACTGACCGGTATCCTTTATTACAGATGCTGGCATTTGTGGTCACATCAGTTACTTCATCTTTTTCCTTTTTGCCTTTTCGAGACAGCAGTTCTCTCTGCATCCATGCTGGTTATCCCGGAACTCAGTTTTACCCTAGGCTGGCCTCAAACTCACAGTGCACCGTCACTCTCTGCTCGGTCGCGTCATCTCATCGAGCCTCACGTTTTTCAGTGGCCCCAGAAAGACTTACTTTATACCTTGCTTTGCATCTCTCTTCCTTAGTACATATTAGCATTGGCGCTGACCTGCCATCCAGCTGCTTGTCTTAGCACTGTTTGACATCTGCTTCCCTGATGTCACGTTCATGAGTACAGTCTGTGTAGGTGCAATTATTAAATGTAGTAAGAGTGTCTCCTGATCACATATGCAGGCTGTTTCGATCTCTGGAAGATGGAAGGTCCTGTCACATACAGCTAGCCTTTTAATATTCTGTGTCAAGATGTTTGGGGAAATTCCTGCATCTCAAGCCAGGTGTGGTGGCACACACCTTTGATCATAGCACTGGGGAAGCAGAGGCAGTCAGGTCTCTGGTACTCTAGGCCAGCCTGATCTACAGAGTGAGTACCAGGCCAGCCAGGGCTGTATACCAAGACCGTGCCTTTAAATAAGTAAATAAACAAACAAACAAACGGACTTCCTCATTTCTCAGAGTTAGGGCTGAAGCAAAAACTAAGTTCCAATGAGAGAGCATCTAAATGGGCTGTTAGTAAAACCAATAAACCAGATTTTGTGTCAGCGTTTTGTTTGATCTTGTGAATGGTGAGACAGGTATTTTAGGTAGGTGGGTTTTCAAGGAGAAACCAAGGCTTTGGGGCAAACAGCTTTTGAACTTTGATTATTAGACCTTTCACTGAAGGCAGAATGCTGAAGAAAGGCTGCCTTTAGTAAGTAAATGGCTGCTCAAGTCCTCCATTGTTAAGGTGACTTCCTGCAGTAAATGATGGACAATTGGAATTCTAGAGTGAGTGAACCGGCCATCACCACAGCCTTCAGCCACCTTCCTGTCTGCTCTGCTGTTGGTTGTGTTTTGTTTTTCTCCGTATTCTTTCTCTTACAAAGGCCTTTTATTACTTTGCCTCTCAAAATGTTTTTCCAACATTAGTATGTAAATTGAAACTGTCAGCATTCCACACACAGACTCCCAGGAACAAATTGGGACATATAATTGCTTCCATTCTGTCTGACCATGGAAGTCAAAGAAGATATTAGAAACTGGAGAAATGTGTTCAGTATTTCATCAAGTTTCTAAAAGCCAGCTAAAAATATGGCCCTAACAGATAATCCCCAAGGGTATGTCCCTTTGACCTCCTAACTTTGCCTGCATTTTAAAGTTTTTCTCACTGTCAAGTTGACCTCACAGTATAGAGACCATGTTGCTGGCAGGGCCTTGAACACAAGGGGTCATGCAGTTCCCCACAGATCTAGCGGTGAAGAGGTTTGAGGCTGTCAGTTGGAAGCATCCTAACGTTTTGTCATTTGTCAAATGACGGGCATAATTAACCAACTGAGGCTGTATCTTGTGGCAGAACACTTGCTACACATGTGCAAGACCCTTCACACATGTGCAAGACCGTTCATAGGAAAGGGAGAAGAGGGAGTGTAAGCCAGTTTGCTTGCTTGGTTGCTTGTTTGTTTTTAATAACTAAAATTGCTATGCAAAGAGCACATCTGACATGCAGTGCCATCCGCAGGAAAGCCATCCATCTGCTTTGAGTCAGGGTCCCATTGGCCTCAAAATCAATGTTTAGGCGAGACTGGCTGCCAGGGACCCCCAGGCATCTACCTGTCTCTGCCTCCCTAGTCCTGGGATTAACCAGTATGTGCCACCAAACTGAGTTCTGGGTTCTAAGGATGGAATTTAGGTCCCTGTGTACAAGGCGACCAGTGTACTTACTGATGTGTCCCTTCTGGTTCTGGCGCTCCCATCCCATTTTTTGAATGACAGCAATCCTGAAAAGGTGTTTTTTTTTTTTTTTTTTTTTTTTTTTTTTTTTTTTCCTGCAGGGGTTTGGTTGGTGTTCAAGACAGGGTTTCTCTGTGAGCTTTGGAACTTGCTCTGTAGACCAGGCTGGCCTTGAACTTACAGAGATCCTCCTGCCTCTGCCTCCCAAGTGCTGGGATGAAAGGCGTGGGCCACCAACACCCTACAAAAAATGTTCTGTCTAAGATCACACAAATTGGATACTGTGCCCCAATTTCTGGCAACTGTAACCATGGACTTTTGGTACATTTTCCAATGCTACTAATGAAACCATGTTCTGGACATAATTTCAACACTTAAGAATGTATGCTATCAGCTGGGCAGTGGTGGCACACGCCTTTAGTCCTAGCACTTGGAGGCAGAGGCAGGCCTGATTTACAGAGAGAGTTCCAGGACAGGCAGGGCTGTTAAACAGAGAAACCCTGTCTTGAAAAACAAACAAAAGGACGTAAGTTGTTTTTTAAATTTTACTCGCTCTGCTTTTTCACATAGCCTCACACAGTAGCCCAGGCTGTGCTAGGATACACTGGGCAGTGCGCTGGCATTGCAGGCATGCAACTCCACACCGGCTCACGAGCGTTCGCTGCCAAGCTGTTTGCTTGCTCAGCAGGCA